CTAAACACATTACAGACCGGAGCTGTCGACCGCCCCAAGATGGCGTCACCAAATCACGTCAGCGCCCCTAGGCGAAAGCGACCGATGCGGGATCTTTTTTTAATATTATTTTATTTTATTATTAATGCTTTTTTGGGAATTCCATGTAAGATTACAGAATTAATCGAACATCAAGCATAGATATACAACAGTTGTTGAAACATTGGACAATTATAGGTGAAAGAATAACTTTAAGAAAGACAAGACATAGAAGGTAAAAATAAATAAATGAAATAAACAAATAAAGATTAAATAATACATAGAGGTTTACATTGAGTTTACGGTTATAGCATTTTTCTTCCTCATAAATTTAAGTGATTAAAAATACACTGTTCTTTAAGAAAAACGTTGAAGTTTGTCTTGGTCCTCATGTATTTGTTTAGATGAACACCAGAAGCAGAAATCTTCCCAGAAAACTTTCACGTACAGACAGTCGAATAAGAGGTGACAGAATAATTTTCTTCAAAACCAAAACGGAGCCTCAGAAATTCCTTGGAAGGATAAATGTCAGTGATTATTTTGAAGTGGATTTCTTTAACCTTTGGAGCGACCGATGCGGGGTCTACTCTTATATATCTATGGTTTGCACTAGTCTGTGTGGGTTCATTTTCTTCTTCTTCTTTCATTTGATTGGCGGATTGCAAACAGCTTATAGGACCATACCGCCACCTACTGTATAAAAGTGTTTAGCCGTAAGGTTCCACCTACTATATTCTATTTTATAATTTTGTGTTATGTTAAAATAAAAACAATGCTTTATTCATGACCCTAATTTCCTTCGTGTCTCCATCTGTCCCTAATATTCCTTTAAAGCTCCATTCTCTCCATTTTTACCTAATTCCTTCATCCTTTCTCTTTCGGTCGCATATTTATAGCAATTCATCATTGGTGCGTTTCTTTTGTTTGAATGAAAGGGGAAAAAATGGTTGACGTGTAAACAGCGCCCCCTGGTGGGGGGTTCTCCGCTCAGCTATAAAGGCACCGTGTGACGTCACGGGGCTGTTTCCCAGGATCGCTGCGGGAGTGGGAAGCTGCTGATCGGGAAGAGAGTGGACCAACCCGCCGGCAGAGGGACGCAGTTTAACCAGGACTCCCGGCCGAAGCTGCGCTCCTCTTTCCGGGGATTTAGAAGATATTTTCTGCAATAATTTAAATACCAACTGCATCCCGAGAGGTTCTGTTCAGGAGAGGCAGGTAAGAACAGCGGGAGGTTCTGGTGGATGAGACCGAGCTGTTAGCTAGCTGACCGGGCTACAGAGCGCAGCGTCCCGGTTCGAGTCTCTGGACCTGATGAGGGTGCCGGTACCGAACTAAGAGCCGAGCACCTGCCCATAGCGGGACTAATTAGGGCAGCGGATATTAACTTTAACTTTTTTATTGTTTTCATTTTAAATCAGGTAATTTTAAAACCATAACTATGTTTCTGATTGGCCAGCGTTGTTTTCACTTGCTTCCACCAAACTTCATGTAATAAAGAGTTAATTTAGAGCAGAGCGGTCGCCATGAAGGCCGTGGAGGTGGGGTGGGGGTGGTTCAATGCACTCGGGTCGCGGTGGGTCCGAACCGTTGATCCGTGGCGGAAACGCTGAGACACGGACGGCTGTGAGGCTGAGGTCTGGTCCCCGGAGCAGGAGCCCTGCTGCGGCCTGCAGGCTGACAGGAGGCGGCTGCTGCTGCCGAGCCTGGGAACCAGAACCGAGGAGGGACATGCACTGAATGGAAACAGCAGGCTGGGCTGATGGGTTCGGCTTGTGGTGTTAGTGCAGGAACCGTGCTGATGCACCACTGAAGCATGTTCAGGGATTATATAAGAGCTCTCATTGTGTTTGCTCTCAGCCATTATTCCAGGCTGCTCTCCTTTCTGTGTTGCTCTTTTAATCTGTGTCATTCTACCTGTCCAGATCTCACACTATTATCCTTCAAGGATCCCAGTTTCCTGATGGGCGGAGGCCTCTGCAACCCACGGTTCCTCATACCTGGAGTGGACTTTGACTTTTGCCTCCGTCCTCCTGGTTTTATGGCTGGGATGCCATAAAGTTCACGTGTTTCCTCGTGTTCTCTCTCCTTCATCCATCCCCTCCTGCTCCTGAACTTCTCCTCAGCACCTCTGGTTCCTGAAATGCGCCTAAAGGAGGCTGCAGGAGGAGTTTGGATGGAGAGAAACTAGAAAAACTGAGATAACAGGGACGGTGGCGTCATGTCGAAACAGGAAATAGTTCCTATTGTTTGCTGTTCTTCCTGAGTTTGGGGATGTGCGCGTCTTTTTAACAGATGCCTGGTGGGTCAGAGATGGGTCACGGACACCTTCTGAGCACCTTTAGTAAAGTCCAGGAGTGTTTGAACCAATGAGACGGAGGGAAATCAGGAGAAGGAGTATAGACATCAACAGGATCAGATGGAAAACACTTGCAGACTGGAGGCGACCTTATCTGCAGGCGTTTCCTGTAAGCAGAGCCAGAGTCTCCTGCAGGACGTTTGCACTCTTCTGACTCTGGAGTGGAAATAAAAGGAGAAATAAATCTGTGGTTTAACTGGTTTAGGTTCAGGTGAGAGCGAGCGGCAGTTTTAGAGCATCAGATATTTGAGAATCAAGTGAGAATGAGATGATGGAGTTATTTGTTACCATGGTAACGACTCCAAACCAATGTTCTGTCAGATTAGCATACCTATAGTCAATATGCATGAGCAGGACATCAGATTTGCATTTATCTGTGCAATTTTGTATGGGAAAAAAAAACAATTTAAGGTCAGATCGCCATATAAAATAAGTAATTAAATCGTTTTTTTGTACATGACTTAAGGTTTTATAAAGAGAAAGGGATTAACAGGTATTGGCTGTGGGTATGCTGGTCTGACGGGGTATGCTCATCTGACAGAGGAGGTGCGCATTAAGGTTTAAACTCTTAATGTAGGATCATTGGTCGGGTTTCAGGACCCGATGGAGACCAAGGAAGTCTTCCTTCTGATAGAACTTCCCGGCAGGAACATGAAGGCGGGGAGTTCGTCCACCATTATGGAGGGAGATTTGTTCCGTTATTTTTTTTAGAGCAAATAACATGCTTGTGAATAGAAGTTTAAGGAAAAATAACTTGGCTGTTTTCTCAGATTATAGTTTTTCAAATATGTTTT